ACATGGTAGCCGGTGTGTGCTGAATTGGCAGCAAGTCCAACAATCTCCAAACCCGCTATACCACCCCGCGTGTCTTGCACAAGTTTTCTCAATTGGTGGCCCTTCCTTCCAATGATTAGCAAACACTTGTGCTTGGCATTTGCGTAGTTTGTCACATTCTTAAAGCGTGTTCGATGTTTTTCAATCGCAGCTCGTCCGCGAGCAGCCATGACCGCTTCAATGGCGAAAGCTGAACAGTCCTGCGTTGTATAATAGATGTCAACCTTCCCATCAGGTGGGCTCTCCAAACTACTTACGGTTCGAAATCCCAAGCGCTTCAACACGCGAATTAAAGCAAAGGTGTAATGAACCTCAAATGGGAGCTCTTCTCCTGAAATATCAGAATGAACAATTGCCTGGCCGCGGTCTTTCACACTGATGGCCACCACTTCCGCAAAAAGCAAGGAGGGCAGCGCTCGCAAAAGAAAATCTATGCAACTAGCTGGGTGTGTGTCTATCTCCACTGTCAGCTGCCGCTTTTTTGCAAGCGCTTGGCGGTAATAGGAAGCCATCAGGTAATTGGCGACACCATACTTTGCCCCCCCCTTTGCCCAGTCCAGTTCCCGAAACTCATTTTGCTCCGCCCCCATGTTGTCTTGCAGAGTAGGAAGTATGAAACCATGAATTGTGAGCTTGCGGCGGGCAGGTATGTCGATATCATCAGTTGGACCCTCGCACAAGATTTTCACAAATTGTTCTGGTATGCTCTCCAAGCTTGCAAAATCCCCATTCACACGAATGGCTCGAATAGTCTGAAGTTTCCCCATCAAGCTATCATCTGGGGCGTGAATCCAATTCTCTGTGTCCCATGCTTGGCTAGCCTCGCCAAGGGCGCGAGTCGAATTCCACGGAGTGCTGTTCCTCTGCTCTGCGCTCTGCTTCTTCTTCACCCATTCCATGCTTCTTATGAAGAGACCTCTGTGTCCACAACAAAAGGTCAGAAAGAACTCAATCGCATCTTGAGACAAATACACATCAGCCTGGGCGAGTTGATTAACAAGAGCTTTGGCATCTGGCATTGGGGGGGTCCACATGTATTTTCCAGTAATTTCGGTTGGTGTTGTAAAGGTCTGTCCTTGCACACTTTGCATTTCAGATGCTGCAGATAATAACAGAACCATTGGACGGCGCTTCAGATACGGGGGCTTTTTCAGGAACTGCTGGTAGAACTCGGGGCAAGCAAAAAGCAAGTGGCATTCATCGAACACCAAGACCTGTTCGTTTCTGAAGAGCCTCTTCAATGCAATCTGCAAGTTTCTGTCTGCAACATCAGCGGTGGAAACCACATTCAACAAAGCGTCCTTGAACTGCATCCCCCAACATTCTGCACAGGTTGCATTCCCAGGAGCAGGAGGACAAACTTCCAAGTACTTAGACGGCTGCACTGAACAAAGATGCTGCGCCAGTGTAGACTTGCCGCAAGCCACACCAGCACGCAGGAAAACCACCCTTTTTTGTTGCAATAAAACTTCTAGCTTTCCAATGGTTTTGTTCAGGGGAATGAACACATCCGTATCGAAACTTGCAGGTTCCTCTGCTTCTGGAATCTCACGTTTGCCACTTCTCACCCTCTTTATCTCCATTGACTCCATTGCCGTGTATTTCACCAGCCGCTCCACAAGGTCTGCTTTTCGCCCTGACACCTTCAAACCCTTCTCGCGCAGCTTTGTCTTCAGTTTTCTCACTGTCAACTTCTCTAGGCTTGCTCTAGTAGTTTCTCTCCCTGAACCTGGTACTGCTAGAGTTTGCGAGCGGTTGATTGGCAGGTGCAAGAAGCACAGCACGACAATCACAATAGCAACTAACAGTTTGAAGCGTGATTGACCAGCTCGTTGGCGGGCCATGGCTTCGAAAAGGAATGTGCCTACCCTTAAACTTTACTAGGACAGAGGTGACAAAAACATGGTTGACACTCAATGTATCAACTCTCCTGAGCTTGAAAGGTTTGTTCTAGTCCAAAATCCTGTCTGAACCAGAGTGCTTCCCAATTCCATCATGCATGAAGTTTGACAAGGTGCTCTATCTCGTTCCCGTGGCTCAAATTTGTCATCCAATCTGGACAGCACAGAAAGAAAACACCAGCGGAAGAGCATGGAAGCACGCAAGTGCGAAACAGGTGACGCTAACCAAATCTCAGCAAGCATGACAAAGAGCAAGCGCACTCACAGGAAGAAGAAACACAAAATGTCATATTATCCTGCCTGAAACAAGAAGAGGTTGATGTATTCAAAATTGGGTTTAAGGTTGTTGGGGAAAATGCCGCCGATGGTGGTAAAACCATATTTGGTCTGAGGACAGTTTGGTTCGTGAGAAGCATCACCTCGCCGCGGAAATTAGAAAAACCTGCCTCTGTTGTGCAGAAAGGCTATACGGATAGAACCTGGTTCCGTCTTTAAGAAAATGCCACCGATTTTGGGAAAGTCAGCCACCGACTTTGGGAAAATCAGCCACCCATTTGGTGAAAATCAGCCACGGATTTCGAGAAAAACAGGCTCTTTTTTTTGATTGATTTGGGACAAAGCTCAAGTCTCACTGTTTTGAACGCTAATCATTTGGGTTTGGATTTAGGAATCGAAAACTGGGTGTATCTAAAAATATGTCAACCGGTAGGAAGTTGGAAGGGTAAACTGCTCGAACCTAAAAAATTTGATGTCGAAACTGTTTTGGGGTATGTGTTAGGGAAGCGCAAACTGATATACACAGTTCCTATTGAGGATGAAAATACTTCAACAACTATATTTGCAGTATGCCTTGTTAAGGTGTAAGTAGTGGAGTTGAAATCCCGATGACGAATGAAACCTTTGACTTTATTTGGAACAGTTTTCCAAACACAGAACTGACTGACAGCGAAACGGTTTCTTCATCGGAAGAAAGCTATGAAGCAGTTTCATCAGTCAAAAAGCCCACAAAGCCGCAATGGAGAAAGCAGGACGACGGATACTACAACAGAAAACCGAACGACGAAAAGCATTTCAAAAAGTATTACCAAGAGAAAACGAAACAACCGTGTGTATGCGATATATGCGGCTCTGCCATGAGCTGCAGGTCAAACTTGGCAAAGCATAAGAAAACCAAAAAGTGCCAAAGGTGCTTAGTGTAAGTTCATTTTAGGATTTTATGATACAATAAAATATCATAAAATTATAATCTAAGTATTTTTAATGACGAGATTGGAAAAAGAAAAGGTATATATTGGAAAAAAGATATTACGACGTGGAGGAGGGCTTCGGTTCGGTGAGGGACTTGTACGAAAAGGCTAGGGAAGTCGATGTAGGCATAACTTTGGATATGGTTTCACAGTGGATGAAATCTCAACCAAACAAACAAACAAGAAACTACAAGAACTACAATTCGTATATTGCCCCTTATCCTAAATATGAATTTCAAATTGATTTGATGATTATGACAAGTCTGTTGAGGGATGTTAAAAATGAAATAAAGAATCAACCTACCTTTGGCTTGGTATGTATAGACATTTTCAGTAAAAAATGTCATATAGTGCCAATGAAAAGTAACGACACTGATGATGTTTATGATGCTGTAATGGAGTGTTTCAAGGTATTGGGTCAGCCATTATCAGTCTATTCTGATGACGAAGGAGCATTAAACAGTGAGAAGTTACAAGTCAAAATAAAAGGAGAAGGGATAGAGCACATAATAACAAAAACACACGCTAATCAGGCTGAGAGAATGATAAGGACAACTAAAAAGATTATTGCTGATAGGCTAAGAGCAAATAAAGATAAGACTTGGGTAGATATGTTAAAACCATCACTAAATAGATACAATACTCAAGTTCATAGTGATGTTTGTCAGGAAAAGTCAACCCTTCAGTCCAAGTTGGAGTTGTCCAGGTGCGCACGCATAATTATTCTATCGTTGACGCAAGGTCATACCACAACGAACCAGCTGTGCTGATTTTGTGATACGATGTGAAACCAAACCATAGACTACTTTAAACACGCCCATAGTGATGCTTGCTCTCAATGGATTCAGACAGCCTCAAGCAATAAACAAAGCCCCGTGAGAGCCAAAATTTGTCACTGTGACCACGGAGCGGAGAGCTCGATTACCAAAAAAAGCCACAGCAGGTTGCTGAGAAAGCTGAGACACACACTCACGTTGATGGTATGGTGAAACCGTAGCAGTCTGACCTCAATGCAAGGGCAAATTCAGACGCGGCAAAAAACAAAAATACATCAGAAGGTTGTAACATTGACATCAGTTTGAAGCCCTGCATGGTCAAAGGCTGCTCAAAACAAAACACCAAGTGATGGGCTCATCCGTGTCGCGAAGGCTTGCCGACATCTTTTCTTCCTTAATCCACTTTCCATCCTGTCACGAGCAAAAAAACAATGCGACAATCAGTTGAGACATTGTGAGAGTCATTGAAACAGGAAAAGCTCTCCTTCGAGCTGTAGATGTCAATCTTGGACGCGGCAATGGACAGTTTCTCCTTCTTTTCGATTGCCTGAAGCAAACGGCAGTCGAGTCTCAACAAGAGCAGCCAAAACAAACTTGAGACAAGGCAACTTCTGAGCATATGGCTTCTTTGAGGTCATCAACCTCAGCAAACTGCCGATGGCCCATAACCAAGTGACGACGTCTTGACAACCAGGCACATTTACAGGAAGCATGACAAGATATGACAAGTCAGCAAGAAGGGCACAGCAAAGCTAAGGTCATTGCGTTCAGCAATTCTCCCTTGACTTGGAAAGCGTTGCCAATCTCCTTGAACTTCTCTTGGTCCTGTGATTCCGAAAAAAAACACTGAACACCAAAACGCACACAAGGTCTTTAGCAACCTGAGAAGAACAAGAGGAGATATTCAACTCTCAAGGCATTTGATGTTGGGGTGGGAGATCGTTCGAACTTGTTTGGCAAAACCCTTGATGAGGGAACAACCGGCATGAAAAAGAATACCATGGCTTCTTGCGTTCTGAATGGAACAAATCTATTCCCTACTTCTTTTGAACGCAAGCTGAAGTTGGCATGAATGGCAGGACATGGAAGGCCTATGGCATTCTTCCCAAGCATGGCCGAAAAATAATACAGTACTGGTTCTGAACAAACTGCCTTTAACACAAAGCCAGTGGGAGAAGGCCCGACTCATAAACTGGTAGCACAAGAAACATGCAAAGAGGAATGAAAGAAAACTTTCGTCAAACTTGTTCCCTACACATGAAGGCCTACCAGATGTGACCTTTGTGACACGTCAACCTCTATGTGTTCATGAAGTTCAACTTGCTGAAGCGCGCTTGCTTGGCACTGAGCCTCCGTTGCTTTTTGCTGGTGAGCATCTTCTTGATCCTCATGACCTTCTCAGCGATTCGAGATTGCAGGCAAGGGTTGCTTTTGGACCTGCACAGCCAGGTGGTTGTCCCATTCTCTGGGTCTCCAAAGGGCTTGATGATCTTACTATGACTGTTCAGGGACACTGCTTGATTGACTCCTATGTGGCTGGTGCCCTGGCAGAAATTCGTTCTCGATCGCAGACTTTGAATGCCAAGCACTTTGGGATCCTTTGGACCAACTATCATTGGCAGCTCTTTTCTTTGCAGCGTTCTGGCACTGGCCTTTGTGCTACTTGCTATGATGGATGTCCCACGGCCAACACCTTTGACCTTGAGATCCTCTGCAATCGCTTCATGCTTGCTTGGGGTTGTGACTCGTATCAGTTGAAGGTTGAGTGTTGCATCTCGCAGACGTATGGTACTCATTGTGGTGCAATTGCGCTGGGGCATCTTCTTCTCGCGCTTGGTCATGACACGACCTGTGATGAAGAGCGTTATGTGTCTTGGCATAAGCTTCTCCTCTGTGGACAGAATCGAAGAGCTTGTGGACCGCATGATGCTGCCATGGTTGAATCGCTTTGCCAAATCCTTACACAGAAAGGAGTTCCTGACAGTTCTGTTCGTGATCGTGCAACTTTGGCCATCAAGAAGCTTGGCGGTCCCGCCATTCAGAAGGCTCTGCTTGCGTCAGATCCATGGCGTGCCCTCAAGCAGATACAGCCCCTACAAGGCAGACCTTTTCAGTTTGTCCTTTATAATGAGTTGCAGGCACACATTGCTGCTCGAGCATCTACCAAGCATGGTGCCTCTACAGGCAAAAAGGGACAGCCGCCTGGTCGCAAAGCGCTGCCTGAACTCCACCTTTGCCCAGAGCATTTAGAGCTTCTTCCAGATCTCTTTGTTGACAAAGATGGGGAATCTGTGGCAACCATTGGTGTTAAAGAGGTCGTCAGTGATGCACGAGGAATTGCCCTAGTCACTCCCGAAATGGCGAAGCAGCTGGATGACAATGATCAGAACCTTTCCATTGATGCCCTGGCTGTTCTGGTCGTTGGTGATCACTCCAATGCCTTTCAGCACCATGCAGCCAGTGTCATTCAGTACCCGGTCATTTATCGACCTACAAAGGAGCCAGCATTGCTTACAGGAACACTTCTTCAACTTGGAGATGTTGAAATCAAGATACTGAAAACAGCTGATGCCCCCGTTGTGCGTGCTGTGGACACTGCAGTAGTTCGGGTGCAAGTCTTTAGAGATGCATATCCGTTAGAAGAGTGGCCTACCTTCGTGGCTGGCCCGGTCAAGGCTCTTGTGGGTGCGGTGGAGTCTCTCCAGTTCTGCCCTGGTAAAGATTGTGGCAAACAATGTGCCAAATTCCATCCTTCTGTGGAAGAAGAGCTTCGTACTGCGCTCCTTGATGTATGGCAATGGCAATGGCTCACTTCAGATGCAAAGCCATGCAAGATGGCTCAGGCTGACATCTTTTCGGTCTATCTACGTGTTCCTGCTTCAGGTCTCATGGATCTTCTTTCGCATAGTGGCTGGAATGGAGTCTTCATTGAACCCCGTCCGCTGCCAACAGCTCCTTCTTCTCAGCGCTTTGCTGTGGTGTGGCTTCCTAGAACTGCAAGTGTTGATGATGCCTTCAAATGGAAGCGCCAACTCGATCAGGTCGTTGGCCTGGCACGCATGCGACAGAAGCTTGGTGTGAGAGTTCGAGCCAAAGATGAAGAAGCTACCCTCAAGGTCATCTTTCCTGACTCCTGTGTGAGGCCGTGTGTTGTCAAGCACACGTATGAAGCAGGTCCTTTGCCTTTTGGTCTTCATCGTGACAAGATTGCGGACCTTCTCAAGGCTTGGAATTGGAAAGCTCGCCCTCTGCGACCATTGCGCTCAACCTCTCTGGGGCAGTTTTGGGAGATTGGTGCTGAAGAGCCCCCCAAGTCCGGTATCATGCCAACCGATCAAGGCATGATCACTGTCTCACATCGTCGTGAAGCACAGAGTTCAGTAAAAGCCAAGCCCTATGTGCAGGCAGCCACCAAGACTTTGCAGAAGATGCACTCTACTGCTCCTTCTTCATCTTCTTCTTCGACCACTGAGCCGCACGACTCTTGGACCACTGGGGATGATCCATGGAAGGCTGCAGCATGGAGTCGCTATCAACCCATCACGGTTGCCAAGGATCAGGTTGTCTTCACTGAGAATCGTGGCAAGGCCTCCCAGGAAGCCCGCACCAAATTGTCTACCTTGACATCCAAGGTCTCTGAGCTTGAGCAAAAGCTTGAGAATAGTGGTGAAGGGGATGCTACCATGTCGAATGAAGTTGCAGAGGGCATCACTTCTGAGATTGCTGAGATGCGTGCACAGCATCGGAAATATGATCAATGGTTCAATCAAGCCAGTGACCGCATCGGTGCCTTGGAGACACATCTTCATCAACAGGGCTCGCAAATTGCTGAACTTGGTGATGCCATGAAGACGCAGGCGCAGGCCTCTACTTCGTTGCAAACTCAGATGCAGACCTTGCATAGTTCTGTCAAGAATGACCTCCAGGCCGCTATGGATGCACAAACTGCTCGCCTGGAATCCTTGTTTGCCGAAAAGAGGCAGAAAACTGGTCAGGCTTCTTGACTATCTCGGTCGGGAGGTTTTGCTCAGCGACATACCTCTTCTAGACCTTTCACATTTCGCTGGTTCTTTGTGGTTTTGAGCCTTCTCTATGGTGTTGGTGATTGTCGCCGTGTGGGTGAGGCGCGGCATCCTGGCCCGGACAGTGAGGAGGCCTTTGAATTCCTTATTGGCACTGCTAATGTGGCAGGACTTTTGCATCGAGCTGACCTCGTGGTTCAGCAGCCAGCAGGCCTTTGGGCTTACACAGAAACTCAACTGTCTCTTGCTGGTCAAAGGCAATTTCGTTCAGCGCTCCGGTATGAATCTCAGCGTGTTCATCGTGATGCATTCTTTGTTCCTGGAGCTCCTGTTCCAACTCGTTCGGCTACTTCAGATGCGGGCACTTGGTCTGGAGTTGCTGTTGTCTCCTCTGCACCAACCAAGGAAATTCGTATTGCTTGGCCTGGTGCTGAATATGTTTCTGGTCGGGTGGTTATCACTTCTACCTGGCTGCAATCCTTGCCTATTGTGGGTGGCACTGTGTATGGCCTTGCGCAATCGCCCACGCATCGGCACCCAATTCGTTCTACATCAGCCATCCTTGATCAGGTTGCGGAGCACATTGTGGAGAGATTGGTTGGTCCTCGGTTCCTTTGTGGTGACTGGAATGCTGATCTCAGTGATTTTGCCGTCACTGACTATCTTCTAGCCCATGGATGGAAGGAGCTTCAAGTACATGCGTGGGAGACCCAGTGTCAGCCTATTCGACCTACATGCAAGTCTGTCACGGTGCGCGACTTTCTGTGGCTCTCACCGGAGTTATGGCAAATGCTGAAGTCAGTCCATTTTGAGGATCGTTATTATCCTGATCATGCTTGCCTTGGTGGTCTGTTCACTATCCCTCGAGCACCTTCGCCTACCAAAGTTTGGCGCTTTCCTGTGCCTCTTCCTTGGTCACATGTTCGTGTTTCTGATTGGCAGGAGACTGTGCAAGCTCATCATCAACCTTTCACCTGGAAGGCTGACACTACTGCCTCGTTCCGATCCTGGTCTGCTGGTGTGGAAAACAGTCTACGGCAGCCTGTGCTCCATGGTCTTGCGCGTATCCCTGCACGTTGCAAAGGAAGAGCTCAACAACTTTGTCCAGAAATGCGTCCAATGCGCCATTCAGTGGTGAAGCGAGCGCGTCCTGGGGAGGAGGAGGTTCTCACAGATTTGATGCCTGTGGTTGTTCGTCAGTGGTATCGACAGCTGCGGAGGCTTCAGGCTCTTCTCCACACCCTTCGCAATGGATATTGTACCCCTGGTTCTTGGACCACACAGGCTCAAACTTGGCGAGCTATCCGAGGTGCTCCTGGCTTCAAGCCCAACTTTGTTGCCTGGTGGCCCACACGTGCCATACATCTTCCTCATGGGCTCTCTGACATTCCACAAGACGTTCCCACTCTCCTACAGATGGAGCTTCTTTGGCATGAGTATCGACTCAATTATCGCAACTTTGAGGATTGGCATCATCGACAAAGACTTAAGCTGCTGCAGTTGCGCAATGCTTCTTTGCAGACCTCGCATTTCCGGCAGTTGAGGCCACCGGCTGCTGATCCTTTGGCGACACTTACTACCATGCAAACAAGTGTGATCGTCGATGTCTGTGTCTCCACTGGCTATGTCGCTCTGCCTGTATTTCCTTGGGACAAGTTTGCCACTTTTCGCTCCTCAGGTTTCGCGTTGAAGCCTTTGGATCATTTTGAGGAACAGCACAATGGCAAGATGGTGCTCTGGATTCTCTTTGATACAGATCTGTTGCTGGTGCCAGGCATGCTCATAGACGTCTCGGTGACCACTGCCTCATTGCCTGACATTCATGCGTCTTTGACTGATCTATGGAAGTCTCGCTGGCAGCGACTTGCGGATGTCCCTGATCCAACTTGGTCCCGGGTCATTGGATTTGCCCATTCGCATTTGCCTCGTATGCCTGCCAAACTTCATCCGCTTTCTGTTGATCTTCTGCAGACTACATTGGCTACTGGCAAAGGTCTTCGCACGAGAGGACCAGATGGGTGGGATCGTCAGGATCTTCGAGCTCTCTCTCCTTGTCACTGGGCTGATATCGTGCAGTTGCTAACAATGATTGAAGGAGGTGCTGAATGGCCTCAGCAATTGACCTTTGGCATTGTCACCTCGTTGGCTAAGAAGACAGAGCCTATTGGACCAGTGAACTACAGGCCCATCACACTCTTTTCATTGTGGTACCGACTCTGGGGCTCAGCTCGTGCTCGATCCATACTGCAGGATTTCTCTCTGTTAGCACCAGATGGAGCCTTTGGATATCTCTGCCATCGAGGATGTCAGGATCTGACATATATCTTGCAGGCCACTCTGGAATCACAGCAGCTGACAGAGGATCATCATGTTGGGGTTCTCCTGGACATTAAACAGTGCTTCAATTGCATCCCTCGCATGCCGGTGAGGTTTTTGGCCAGGCTCTTTGGAGTGGCGACTCCCACAGTCACAGCCTGGAGCTCTTTTCTCGCATCGATGCGCAGATCATTTCGGGTTCGTGAAGCTTTGTCTGATCCTATTGGCAGTGATACTGGACTACCTGAAGGAGACAGCATGAGCTGCGTTGGAATGGTTTTGCTGAATTTTGTGTACCATGCATACATGAAATGTTTTGCCCCCACGATACGGGAGCTTTCATATGTCGACAACCTTCAGCTCATTTCACCTACGGTTGGTTCGCTTCTGCAGGGACGAATTGTTGCTGAAACGTGGGCGGACATGTTGCAGCTACACATTGATTCGGTCAAGAGCACCTATTGGGGTACTTCAGCTTCCATGCGTGCCTTGCTTCGTGCCAACGGATGTGCCGCTGTTGAATCCACAAAAGATCTGGGGGTACAGATGCAATATGGACCACGACATCGCAATGATCAACTTCAATTGCGAATTGGTTCCTCCTTGGTTCATTGGAAGCATCTTGCTGGCATGCGTCTACCACGAGCACTGAAGGCTCTAGCCATTCGTACCGCTTTGTTGCCTCGCACACTTCATGGCGGTGAGCAGACTTTTGTTGGCCTCCACTGGTTCAAACAGCTGCGAACTCAGGCGCTTCGAAGCTTAGGAGTTGCTCGGGCTGGTGCAAATCCTGGTGTCAGGCTACCCCTTGTCGAGGATCCTCTTACTGACCCCATGTACTATGACATTCGACGCAGCGTGTTGTCTTTTTGGAGGTACTTGGGCTCCTCGGCGGAGTTTCGTCTGGCGTGGACTACGCATGTAACACATTTTCATGGTAAGTACACCCATGGGCCATTTGGCAAGTTCCTGCGAATATGTGAAACCCTGCAATGGTCAGTCACAACTGACTTTGAGCTTCGAGTTGCTAGTGGGCAGCGCTATGACTTGTTGTGGCTTCCTCGGCCTCACTTGCACACTTTGCTCTTGGAAGATTGGAGACAACATGTTGCTGCTGGCGTTTTTCATCGACATGATTTTGCTGGTATTTCTGGATTGGACTATTGGGCTAGCTTTCAGGTTCTGCCACAGCTGACTGTGTCGCAAACAGAGCTCTTGGCCACTATCAGAGATGGAACATTCTTTTTGCACAGCTTCAAGGCTCGGTTCGATCCGGGTTTCTCGGAGGTCTGTCCTTTTTGTTCCTCTGCTTTGGACTCCATGGAGCATCGAGCATGTGAATGTGAATATTTTCAACCGGTTCGAGATCGTCACTATGATTGTTGGACCAGCTGGCATGATGTTCCCATTGCTCTTTCCCACCATGGTTGGTGTCCTGCAAATGAATGGGTGCCACGCTTTCATACTGAGCTTGAAAATCTTGAGAACTTGAATACGCAATGGCATTGTGAACCTTCGGATTCTGGTGTTCAGCACCTATTTACCGATGGCTCTTGTCAACTGCCAGGACATCCAATTGGTCAGCTTTCGTCATGGGCTTTTGAGCTTGCTAACGTCACTAAGGTCGTGGCCTGTGGGCTCCTGCCTGGCAGATGGCAGGGTATAGCACGGGCAGAGCTTTTTGCGGTGTTGCAATCTTTGCTATGGGCTGCACACTATCTTGTTCCAGTTCATCTTTATTGCGATTCTGCCTTTGTGGTCAGGCGACTTCGTTTGCTTCTGGCAGGTCAGCAGCCTTGCTTGGACTGGGCGCACGTGGATCTTTGGGAGAGGGTTGCGCAATGCCTGTCTCAAGTGCCTTGGATTGGAGTGACTAAGGTGGCATCTCATCGATGCATTGAGCATGCAGCCACTCCTTTTGATGCTTGGTGCATCCACCATAACTCTGTGGCTGACGTTGCTGCTGGAATGGCTCGCTTGACCTGTGCGCCAGCGGCCTTGCGTCGCTGCTACGATGCCATGATGAAGGTTCATGAGTCGCACTGCATGCTTAGCAGGATGTTTCAGCTCTTTCTTCTGGACCTTGCAGAACATGGTCTTGCTACGTCTGAGAGTGCACAACTTGAGTCTTGTACAGAACACTTTTTGTATGGTGATTCATTTGTTAATTGCCATGACTTTGCAGAGGATCAGCCGATTGATGTTAGGCCCCGGCTGAGAGCGAATTTGTTTTTGTGCAGATTTGGTCTTCACATAGCTGAAGCTCTTCACGCTTGGCTAGTGACCCTTAGTTTGCAGGCGGATTTTCTCACGCCTGTCTCCTTCGTTGAGCTTTTTCTTGGATTTTCGGTTTGTACTAAGTGTGTTTTGCCGGTTCGGGTTGATGGTGCTTCTCAACGATGGTTGGACGTAGCAACTCTGGAGGCGGGAGATCTTTTTGGTCGAACTCTTGCGATTCAGGTTTCGACTTTCAGGTGTTTGTTTGATGCTGTTTTGGGTGCGATAGGTTGCTCCTTCGAGAAACGACAGATCTCTCGGCCGACTAGCGGGATCGTGATGGCATTGCCGGGATGTATAGTGCCATGGCCGGCTGAGGTGGCAGACAAGGCACACTTGTCTTTGCTGGCTTTTTGTAAGCGATCCCCCATTCGTTTTTCACGTGACCTCGCGCGCTCATGGCCTTGATGTGGCATGAGGAGGTTCTTTCTCGCTGTGCAACATCGCTATGCTGTGTTCACAGTGGCGGCGACTGCAGACTCGTCCGCAAGAGCGTGATACTAGTAGTAACAAGTGCCACGCTAGTAGTAACAGGTGCCACGCTAGTAGTAACAATGTTCCTTTTTTTCATTTTTTTCAACCGTTACTACTAGCGTGGCACCTGTTACTACTAGCGTGGCACTTGTTTCTAATAGCAAACATTGTTACTAGTAGTAAGGCACCTGTTACTACTAGCGTGGCACCTGTTAAGCAACACACGAAAGGAACTAGGGATGACAAGGCTGCTTGTTCAACACTTGCTGTACCACTCAAAAGGTGAGATGTTGAGGTGGGAACAGTCAAATGGACATGGCACAGGCACGGCAAAACATCATACAAAGTCTTTAGTCTAAATCCTATCAAATTGAGGACGATGTTTGGAATACATCTTTTAACAAATCTTGAGGAATGAACAACCCTGCGATCTTCTCCCCAAAAAGTGCTGAGCCGTGTCAAGAACATGAAATTACAGGGTATAATTTTCAATAGCGGGCTTACACATGATCACATGTTTGACTTGGGGCATGGCGTGAAAGGAACAAGGGCATGGCAGAAAACCGCACAAACGTCTTTAGTCTAAATCCTCTCTACCAATTTAAGGCAAATGTTGGGAAGATATCATCAACAAATCTTGAGGAATGAACAACCCTGTTATCTTCTCCCTAAAAGACTGAACCGCAGCAAGAACATACAATGTCAAGGTAATGTCTTGCGTAGCGGGCTTTCCCACAACCAGCATCGTGTGAACACCCTCAACCTATATTGTTGTGAACAAAAGCTCAATCAAACCAATTCCATCCTTCTTTTTCACTTGGAGGAATTTTGAACTTGAGGTGGGGAGCGTTCAGAATCCATTGTCCTAAACCGAAAGGAGCGTTCACCAAAGGCATTCTAAAGATGAGTTGTGTACCTTGTTGTCTGCAACTGTTGTCAGTCCTTTTGCAGTTGCCTCACCCAAACAGCTTTGGTCTGAGTTGGAGAGGTGGCACCTTGCAGGGCACGAAGATGACAAGTTGGGTCTTTGCAAGGTCTTACTTTGGTCAGCTATTGTGTATAATCAGGAGCGTTTGCGACAAAGCGGAAAAAACGAAAACTTTACATTAAAAACAAAAAACATCCCTGCTCGTCTGCAAGTAGAATGCTTTCTCACATTCTTCATGCGATGTTCTTCCAAGCCAGCCCTTTCCCTTCAGTCCCCGCCTGCAACAGTTGGGATTAAGACTGGTTTGATGCCTGATAGCAGAAATTGCTTGATATCCACTGGCTTCCATCCACCGTCAGGCATCCTTGCCCCTTCCAAATTCTCCTGCACCCAAGCCTCATCCTGCTTGAACTCTTTGAGGGATTCATTTAAGGCTCCTCCGACTCCTTGGTGGTTCTCGTGAATGCATGTAACATCTTGCGCCACCACCTTGTTTTGCGGGACTTTCTCCTGTCGTTCAGCTTTGCAGTTGCATTCAAATGCAGGAGGAGTCTGGATGCCTGCATCTTATTCCACCTGTACTCGCTGACATTGCACTTCTGGTGTGGCGATACACGTGTTCGTGCCCCATTGAGCAAACCAACTTCCTCAGCGACTTCACGCGACTGCGTGACGACTACCACTTGTCCATGTTCGAAGGCGGCGCGGGCAAGGCTCATCAACATCTTCCCATCCTGACCGAGTTCCTTGTCAAAGATGTTGTCAAGAACCAATTGCACGCGAAATCCCGCATCGGACAAGATTGGAAAAAAAATTTCTGCAACAGCTGTCACATAGGCTTCCTTGCTAACTCTAAAGAAATCTTCGAGCAGTTGCAGGTTTCCTCGTATCAAGACAGCACTTTGGGTTGTGTTTTGCCCACATCAGCATGGCTAAAGCTACCGCAACGGACTTGCCCGTGCCGGGTTCCGCATGAATCGCAGAGACTCCCGTGGAGGTCGTATCGGATAGCACACTCGTCACCAAATGCTGAAACTCTGTGCCATTCACGGGGATGAGTGGCAATGAGATGTTGGGCACAATGATGTTTCGGGCTTCCTGTGACGTCTTGGCTCTATCCATCAGTTTCTTTGCAAGGAGTATGGCGTGCTGGTGGGCATCGTTGACATTCTCCAATCGTTTCACCTTTTCAATCGGGCGATAATGCTTGTTTGCATCCAAAACTTGCTTGCCGATATCCGTCCCTACAGCACTGGCAATTGGGTCCAAATATGTTGCCCAAGTAGGAGGCTCTACTGGCCTTGCAGTCTTGCTTGGACGCCTGTATCTGTCTTGCGTCGTTCGTGGTATCTCAATCAAAGCCAAGAAAAACTTGCCAACTAGAATGGACAAAACCAGTGCAAAGATCTTGAAGCGGCGTTTTGCCATGGGAACATTGACATTGCAGGTCTAGACAAGTATAATGTATGTGCATGACACCAAGGTTGATGCATATACATTTTTTGTAACTATTTTTATGTCAAACATCATCTATATCTTGTAAAACACATATATACAACCAAATGATGTTTGTGCTGTTCGGTCGCACATCAGGAAAGGATTGCAAAACCCTGCTCTCAGAAGAAAAGCCACGAGCATGGCACAAATCAATCCACATCCAAGCTTCATGGAGACCTGCCACCAATCGGGAAAATCTACCATCCATTTTGCAGAAAATCAGCCACCCACTTTGGCACGAAATCCGTCGAATTGCGGAAATCTGTCACCGATTTTTGGGAAAATCAGCCACCGATTTTGGGGAAATCCGCCACAGACTTTGGGAAAAATCTGCCACAGACTTTAGGAAAATCTGCCACAGACTTTGGGAAAATCAGCCACCGCCCGGGTTGTGAAGCTCCGTTTTTGGGGAAAAACAGGCTCCGTTTTTGGGAAAAGCAGGCTCCGTCTTTGGGACAAAGTGGCTCCGTTTTGGTGAAAAAGTGGCTCGGTTTGGGGAGAATTGGCTCGGTTTTTGGATTGGCTTGGGACAAAGCTCAAGTTTCATTGTTTTGAACGCTCAGCATGTTGGGGTTTGGGTTTTTGAGGTTTTAAGACTCGGTGTCTCTAGAATTAAGGCAACTCTATGGCAAATTGGAAGGGTGAAATGTTCAAACCTATGAACTTTGATGTCGAAACTGTTTTGGGGTTCGTGTTAGGGACTTGTATGAGGTGCTACAAGCACAAATTGATACTACATAGTATAAATATACTTAAACAAATATTAAGATATATAACTAACTATATATAAATTGCAATAAACTGCAAGTTTCTTCGCATCCTAAGTAGATAGCTCATTCACCATCACCGTGCAATTTGGGATCAAAAGGGTCGTGAGCCGAGCGGCCACCTGTTTCGTGCACGCCGAGAGCCTGCCGATTTCCTTTAGGTGTCTTTCGACTTAGGTGGCCCCAGATCTTTGACTAGAGCAATAGTGACGCCGGCTGACCGCCTGCTTTTGTGGTTGCTACCTGCATGGTAGCGGAGCCTGCGGGCTCGTGTGAGAAAGGTGAATGATGATGTCATGGTACTCAGCACCGCCAGGCCGTGTTGAGTCTTCAGGTGGCAACCAAGGGGCGATTCTCAAGAATCGCGATGGGGTGCCGGTGTGGTCGGGAGACAGCTCCACCTTCGAAGAGTTCGTCGAAGCCTGTCTCCTGTATGAGCAGACCGTGGTCAAAGAGAAGCGATACCTTTGTGGGCCTCGAATTGCCAGTGAACTGTCTGGATCAGCCAGACGCATCCTGATTGGCAAGTCAGCGGACTGGCTGTCCTTCGATGGAGGGGTCCGTCGATTAGTGGCAGCTCTTCGTGCTGAAAGGGGCCAATCCAAGGTTCCTGAAATGAGCGAGCTGTTGATGAAGTACTTCAAGGGCACCAAACGCCAGCGGGGCGAGGGCATGAATGACTTCGTGATGAGAAAAGCCGAGGCATACACCCGGGCACAACAGTCAATGGCCCGGTATCAACGAGAACATCCAAAGAAGCCAAAGTCAGTGAACTCAGATCCAAGATCTCAGCATTCATCAATAGCTGGCCCTCAGAGAACCTGGAAGGCTAGGAACAGTCAACATCTGCAGGAGCAGTCCTATGAGTTTGAGAATGAGGGGTACGACCTTGCGACGGAGGAGGATGATCCCTGGGCGCAATGGCATGCGCATGATGAGTGGGAAGAAGCCCACTCTCATCAGTCCAGGAGCCATCATACTGAGTCCTGGAAACAGTCCGACACCCTGGAATGCAGTCGTGATGAGCTCCCAGAGATTTTGCCAGATATCATCCAAGGCTGGTATTTCAGTGTCCGAGCCGTGGAGACAGTGTTGAGGAAACATTGGACGGACGCGGACGTCAAGCGCCGCGACATGGAGAAGGGCAAGTACATGGCCCACATGACGGAGGACCACGACCCGGAGGAGGACAAGATCTTCTGGAGTGAGCTTGATACAAATGGCTTGATGGAAGAGGGTTTCACCACCGAGGAGATCCAGTCCATGGAAGTGGAGCAAGAGAAAATGGTGGAAGCCTACGCCGTGATGCAGGAGGCTCGACAGACACTGAGGGAGGCCAGAGCTAAACAGCATGCCGTCCGAATGGCACGGCAGTACTGCCCCGTCAAAGGGAAGGGCAAGGGCAATGAACCTCAAAGCCTGTGGAAGCGACTTGGCAAAACGCCTCCACGGATGCAATGTTTCCGATGTGGTGGCCCACACAAGGTGGCCGAATGTCGGGAGAAGCCTGCTGACCAGTCAGCCCACGTGAACACCCAGGAGCAGGCACCTTTCGTCTTCTTCACCGACATGGCGCTCATGGGCGAGTCCCAGGAGGGTGCCACCATCTCTACCCAGGATGTGATGCTGCAGGGAAAAGCTGTCATTGACGGCGGAGCCACGAAAACCATTGGCTCCATTGCCGCCCTCTCCAGGGTTGCAGATCTGAATGAATCCATTCGGGGTGACTCAGGGGTGCAACAAGTGGACCTTGCTGACCGGCCAGTTTTTGGGTTTGGAAATTCCTCGAAGGACCAGCGCGCCTCAACGGCATCATTACTGGTCCCGCTCGGTGGCAAGATGGGCACTCTCAAGGCGCACGCCTTGGACAAAGGCCAAGCGCCAGTGCTGCTGTCAATCAGCTCCTTGAGAAGCTTAGGCGCCGTGATCGACTACGCATCGGATCGCGCAGTCTTCCGGGCAGTGGATCCGACCAAAGTGGTGCGCCTGGAGCGCACGGCAGCTGGACACCAAGTGCTGCCTCTCACGACGGATGCCTATGAGACTGCCCGCAGCTTGCGAGCGCTGCTGCCGTGCTTTAGTGATCTCGAATAGGGATATGACCTTTCCATCCCGTCGCCTGCGCAGGGTGAAAAGGACAGCGTAGCAGCAGGAATGGTTTTTCATGGACATGTCATGGTAGATCATGGTAGTCAGTTGGGATGCGAACCAAACCCCGATTATGATCAACATGAAACTCTTCAGCCCGGCTTCCATGGGAGAGAACGAAACCAAGGCCTCAAAACGGAACCCATGCCACGTGTGTCGCATACATCACATGATTGTGCACATCACACTTTTGGTAAAGACCCTAGTCAGTGTCAGAGCTCAGAGCCACCCGATACTTCGTCACGCACTCAGGTCACGGAGGACCATCGATCTCAGGGTGTCGTGAAACCTGCACTCGGTGTCATCGATCGGCCACCGTTGAGTGAAGTTGATGACACATCCGCAGCCGTTTCCGCTTCGTTCTGTGGAAAGCACGACCTCTCTCGCGAAGCTTGTGGTGATCATGGTGTCCCGCATGACCCGTGTGGAGCTTGGCGAGCGTCTCCAGAAGTACCATGGGGAAGTGGCTCCAACCAAGTGGACTCGGGCGCAATTGCTTCATCGACTCAGCGAGCTCGAGGGAGAGGTGATCTTGGAGCCAAAGAGCAAGGAACTCAGCCCATTGAGGACTCTCGAAGTGGCCATCAACAAGGCTTCAGCTCGGAAGGCAACCCTCCAGGAGCATGACCCTGACGGGCACCGAGACCATTGCTCAGCTCAAGGTGAAGGGCCTGAACCAGGCCTATGTGATGGCAGCTCCTCATCCCACGGACTTCGTCGGGTTCGGCAAGCATTGCGACAAGAAGTACGAGGAGATCTGGATGGAACAGCCCAGCTATGCTCGCTGGGTGATGCAGACCTCCAAGGAGGACCCAGAGAGCAGCATGAAGCTTCATCGCTTGGCCAAGTGGCTGGAGGAGATGTCGGAGCTGGAGCAAGTGACGGAAGCCACAGCAGAGCGTTCCAAGAACCCGAAGAAGGGCTACCCAGCCAAGAAGAAGGACGCAGAGAAGTCCAGTTCATCCTCAGAGATGATGGAAATGGCTTTAGCCTTGAAGGCGCTCACCAAGGAGGTGGCCGACATGAAGGAGGATCGGGAGACGCGCCGGAAGCAACCCTCGGCCGCCACCTCAGGCGACTGGGAGAAAACCTCCCAGATGCCAGTGGACCAGTAGACGGTTCCAAAGAGTTTTTCTCCGAAGGCTTGGAAACTCTTTTGCCTGCACCTCAGGTGGTGCTCAGTGAGCGAGAAACCAAGCTACTGAGCCTTCAGGCCATGGAGGAGCTCCCCGCTGCATTTGGGGAACTCATCCGATATGAACGGCCCTTGCTTTTTGAGGTAGCATGTGGACCGGACTCACTCCTGACGGATACCATGAGGAAAATGACCGGTAGGGAAAGCGCAGCTGAACGTCTTTCCTTTTGGAACGGTTATGACCTTGCCACTAGTACGGGAGTGCGCAAGGCAATCAACAAGATCAAAAAGAACAGACCTCTCCATGCTTGGATTAGCACTGAATGCCGGACCTTTTTCTAGGATGCAGCGAGTGAATCAACGCTCTCCGGAACAAATGGAGAACTTGAAACAAAAACGAGACAACTGCATTAGGCAATACGTTGGAGGTTTGTTGATCATGACTCATTGTATTCAGCATGGGGTGTCCGTTTCTTGGGAATGGTCGGAGACATGTGATGCTTGGCGGTTACCAATGGTTCAAAACATGATGAATCGGTATCAATTGAAGACTTGTGTGGTCAAGGGTTGTCGTGTCGGATTGAGAAAAAGGTTGGAAGATAGCGTCTACTCATGTGGGGCTATGGAACTCCCTTGTCTGTGTGGGGTTAAGCATGCTTGGTGTGAAGGGAAACTCACGAGAGAAAGTGCATATTACACAAATGATTTTGCTAAACGAGTGCGCCGCACCATCTGGCGTGACACTGAAAGGGACAACCTGGTGACGGAACTTCGAGGACAGACCGATATCCCCAGCAGTCGCAGTGGAAGACCGGTTTGTTGCACTTGTGATACCATCACCCATCCAAAGTGAAGGTTTCAGCCTGAAGACCTTTTTCAGG